GAAGAAAAAGTAATTTAATGTGTTTGGTTAAAAATGCTTTTGAAATTGAAGTTATAAAATATTTTTTAAAAATATATATTAATATTGATGATTTTAAATTTAACTATTATAAAATTAATTACTCCTATTATATCATAAAATAAATAATACTTCATATAAAATATTTTTTTATTAAATTATTTATAATTGTATTACGTACAAAATTTATTCGATAAGAATTACAGTTTTTATAATTTTTTAAGCATGTAATAAAATTAGATAAAATATTATCAGGTATAGAATTAATATTACGGTGCGAGTGAATTTAATTCATTCTATATTAGTTTTTCAAGAAAAAAATATTATTCGCATCACAGTACAAATAAATTTAATTAATTTTAAACTAGTTTTTTTTTTACATTTAAAAAAATATTAATAAAATTAACATTTAAAAAATATTAATAAAATTAAATGAACATTAAAAAAATTATTTATGTAAATAGTACAATTCACTCATGAACACAGTGAATTATAAAGATTGTCAATAACATAAACCATGAATGAAAAAGAATATTTTTTTATTTTTTATTAATTATTATTCAATAATAAAAATTATATAGGATATGCACAATAAATTAATTTTTTTCTTTACCAACCAACTAAAAATTACATTTTAATAAAAAGACAGCCACACAGCCATCATCTTATAATTGGTGCTGTTTTTTAGTTAGGGATAACTTTCCATAATTCTTAAAAACAGACCTGAAACAGGCTGCCCACTTCCTGGAACTTCCTTGCTGCTGACTTTGGTGATTTGTTCACACTACCAATCTTTCCTTAACAACTAAGGAGTTTTATAAAAAAAATATGGATTGATTTTAACCACATATTTTTACCGAGTTTCTCTGTTTCTCAATTCAACCTATTTCCTTTTAAAAAATATGCAATTAAGCTTAAATAAATTCAATTATGCAAAAAAAAAAAGGTTCAAATACTAGATCGAAAACTTTATTATTAATATCTACAAGTCTAGTGAATAGTAATGAGCATAAAACTCCTTTTTCTTTTAATTTATACTATAATCTTGTATTGTGACACATACTGTTTTAAAATATTTTTTATTTAAAAATTTATTATATATATATAAAATAACAAGAAATATTAAAAAATATATTAATTTAATATTTTTTAAATTAAATATAATTATAAAAATCACTCAGACACAGTTAAAAAAAAAAAAAACAGTCC